TTCAATATCCGTAAATCAATTAACGTGATACACTACATAAACAGAATGAAAAATAAAAATCCTATGGTCATATCAATAGATGCAGAAAAAGCATTTGACAAAATCCAGCATCCATTTATGATAAAAAAACACAAAAAACTCTCAGCAAAGTGGGAATAAAGGAAACATATCTCAACATAATAAAGACTATATATATATATATTAAACCCACAGCTAACATACTCAATGGGGAAAAGCTAAAAGCATTCCCCTTAAAATCACGGACAATACAAGGATGCCCACTTTCACCATTTTTATTCAGCACAGTAGTGGAAGTTCTACCTACAGAAATCAGAAAAGAAAAATAAAAGGCATCCAAATTGGAAAGGAGGTAAATTGTCATTTTTGCAGATGACGTGATACTATATATAGAGAAACCCAAAGATTCCACCAAAAAACTATTAGAACTGATAAATGAATTTAGTAAAATAGCCAGATACAAAATTAATATTCAGAAATCAGTCACATTTTTATACACCAATAATGAACTATCAGAAAGAGAAATTAAGAAAACAACTCCATGGGCTGGCCATGTGACGCAATGGTTAAGAACTGACTTGGGACGCCAGAGGGCCCCGGTTCGGATCCCACATATGAAGGCCAGTGACACTGCCCTCCACAGCTAAGATGCTGAACAACAGCTCAACCTGGAGCTGGGCTGCTGTGGGTCGCCGGCGACGGCGTAGGCTGCAGCCCCTGTGGCAGTGGGTGGCCATGGGCTACTGTGTGTAGCCAGCAGCCAGCGTGAGCGGCCAGCAGCCGCAGTGAGCGGCCCTCCAGAAGCCGGCGACTGATGTGCCTCGCCCGGGAAGAGCGCAGTTATGGCGCCAACTTGGGCCAGTGGGGCGATGTCCTCCACAACTAGACTGAAGAACAAAACAACAGCAACTTGTCTGTCCCCCTTCCCCCAATTCCCCAATAAAAAATCTTAAAAAAAAAAAAAAGGAAAAAAACTCCATTTACAATTGCATCAAAAACTAAAATAGGGCTGGCTGAGTGGCGCGTTGGTTAAGAGCTGGCTTGGGACGCCAGAGGGCCCCAGTTCAGATCCCACATATGCATATGAGGGCCAGTGACACTGCCCTCTACAGCTAAGATGCTGAACAACAGCTCATCCTGGAGCTGGGCTGCCGTGAGTCGCCGGCAACGGTGTAGGCTGCAGCCCCTGCTGCAGTGGGTTGCCATGGGCTACTGTGTGTAGCCAGCAGCCAGCGTGAGCGGCCAGCAGCCGCAGTGAGCAGCCGTCCAGAAGCCGGTGACTGATCTGCCTTACCTGGGAAGAGCGCAATGATGGTGCCAACTTGGGCCAGTGAAGCAACATCATCCACAACTAAATTGAAGAACAAAAATGACAGCAACTTGTCTGTTCCCCTTCCCCCAATTCCCCAGCACTGTTCCCATACCCCAATTCCCCAATTAAAAAAAAAATCTTTAAAAAAAATAAATAAATAAAATAAAATACTAAGGAATAAATTTAACCAAGGAAGTAAAAGACCTCTACTCAGAAAATTGTAAGACATTGAAGAGAGACGTTAAGGGAGATCCAAATACATGGAAACATACCATGCTCACAGATAAGAAGAATTAATATAGTTAAAATGTCCATACTACCCAAAGCAATATATAAATTCAACACAATTCTTATCAAAATACCAAGGGCATTTTTCATGGACCTAGAAAAAATAATCCTGAAATTCATATGGAACCATAAAAGATCCCGAATAGCCTGTGAGATAAAAACAAAGAGAGAGGCATCACGCTACCTGATATCAAATTATACTACAAAGCTATAGTAATCTAAACAGCATGGTATTGGCATAAAAATAGACACACAGATCAATGGAACAGAATAGAGAGCCCAGAAATAAATCCATCCCTACATGGTCATTTAATCTATGACAAAGGAAGCAAGAATTTACATTGGGTTAAAGACAGTCTATTTAATAAATGGTGCTGGGAAAATTGGACAGATATATACAAAAAAATGAAACTGGACCACCTTCTTACACCATATACAAGAATAAACTCAAAATGGATTAAAGACTTAAATGTAAGCCCTGAAACCATAAAACTCCTAGAAGAAAATATAGGATGTAAACTCTCAGACATTATCCTTAGTAATATTTTTACTGATGCATCCCCTCAGGCAAGGGAAACAAAGAAAAAACAAAAAACTGGGACTATGTCAAACTAAAAAGTTTTTTTCACAGCCAAGGAAACCATCAACAAAACAAAAAGACATCCTACTGAATGGGAGAATATATTTGCCAATAATACCTCTGATATCCAAAATTTATTTTAAAAAACAACTCATACAACTCAACAACTACAAAAAACAAACAATCCAATTTAAAAATGGGCAGAGGGAAAAAAAAAATGGGCAAAGGACATGAAGAGACATTTCTCCAAAGAGGACATATAGATGGCCAATAGACATGAAAAAATGCTCAACATCACTAATGATTAGAGAAATGTAAATAAAAACCACAATGAGATACCACCTCACTCCTGTCTAATGGCATCCTCAACAAATCAACAAGTGTTGGCAAGGATGTGGAGAAAAGGGAACCCTCGTGCACTGTTGGTGGGATTGCAAATTGGTATGGAGGTTTCTCAAAAAATTAAAAATAGAACCTACCTTATGATCCAGCAATTCCATTCCTGGGTATTTATCCAAAGAAATCCAAAACACTAATTTGAAAAAATATATGCACCTCTATGTTTTCTGTAGCACTATTCACAATAGTCAACATATGGAAACTACCGAAATGCCCATCAATAGATGACTGGATAAAAAAAATTGTGGTACATTTGAACAATGGAGTATTACTCTGCCATAAAAAAGAATGAAATCTTATCTTTTGCAGCAACATGGATAAACAACCTAGAGGATATTATGCTAAGTGAAATAAGTCAGACTGAGACAGACAAATACCATATGATCTCACTTATATGTAGAATCTAAAGAACAGAAATGATGAGCAAACAAAACAGAAATTGACTGAGATATAGAGAAAAAAACTGATGGTTGTCTGATGGGAGGGGAGTAGAGGGGTGGAGAAGGTGAAGGGATTAGAAAGTATAAATTGGTAGTCCCCAAATAGTCATGGGGATGTGAAATACAGTATGGGGAATATATTCAATAATGTTGTACAGATTATGTAGGGTGCCAGATGGGTACTGGACTTACCTGAGGGATCATTTTGTAGACTGTGTAGAGGCCTGACCACTGCACTCTACACCCAAAGCTGAAGTAGAATAATATTGAACCTCAACTCCAATAGACTTGTGTATGTGTGTGTGTGTGTGTCTATGTATACACACACACACACACACACAGGTATATATATATATATATACACCTGTGTATATTCACAGGACATAAAGTGCAGTATAGGGCATACAGCTAATGGTATTGTAACACCTATATATTGTGTTGTCGGGAAACTCATGACTCATTTTTGCATTGAAAAACAGAAAAATACGTCATGACTTTCCCGCCGACCCAATATATCAGAGGGGTAGTAGACTTGGGGGTTTTATCGCTTTGTGAGGAGTGTAAATGTCTAATCATTATGTTGTTTTGTACACCTGAAACTAATAAAATAAAATAAAATGAAGGACCATCCGCATGTGGTTTGCCAGGCCCCAAAGTCTGGTGTGGGCTGCCGTTAGTTAAAGACCATAGGTGCCTAGGCCACAGTATCGCAGTATGAATAAATTTGCATATGTATTATCCAACCCTTTTCCTTCCCTTTTGCCACTGGCCTCCCATCTAAGGTAAGAAGTGTTAATGAAGTAAATCTATCTCAAGTTACAGGCTGCTGAAAGTGGGGAGCATGGGAGAAGAGGAACATGACCCAAGCGTGGAAAAGGGACATGGGGTCTTCCTTGGGGAAAGGGCTAGTGGGTTTTCCTTTTGGTTATAGTATAGAGGGTTGTGTGGGTGCCAAGCTGACAAGGGTGGACTGGTGCTTAGTCACATGTCAACTTGGAAGGTGAACTTCGTTTCCTAGAATTGCCTTCCCCATTTGTCTCAGGTTAGGGTTGGCCAGACGGGCATGAATTTTAGAAGACGGAAGGGAGGTGGAGGTGGTGCTGGCCAGGTGCTGACGTCCAGAGCTTCTTCCGCTGCTCTGGGGTCTCTTCCTCTGGCCCTGGGCCAGGGGTGAGTGTGCCCCAATGAGGGCAACAGCTTCTCCCACGACCCTGTGGGGAGCGGCTAACAGGGCAGCTCCAGCCTGTGGCTTTCGGCGGTCCCTGTTTCTGACCTCAGGTCCCTCTTTCCACCAGCCTGTGCTGGGACTTCCGGCTCAGCCCTACAAGCAGAAGGCACCGTCCACCCCAGATGTTCGTGTGTGGAGAAACCACGCGCGGCCAGCCCCAGGCTGGAGCTGCTGTGTTGGTGGGTGACGACAGCCTGTGCACCCAAGCTGGCAGAGTGGCGGGTGCAGGCAGGACCCCAGGGATGGACCCCACCTTACAGCCCTGCAGGGTAGAGGGCCCACAGCCTGGAGGTCCTTGGAGAGAGAGGGTCAGTCCCGTCGGGCAGACGTGGGGGGGCGGGAATGCGGTCCGTCAACACATTCTGTTGTGAACCCGCCCCTCCAGCGCTGGATTTCAGCAACCACCGGATGGATGGCAGGAGACCACCGCCCCGTCCCCAGCGACCGCGCACCGGCCCTCCGGGAAATAGGTCCGTGACCCGCCGGACGCGACGGCCAGACCCCGTGCTGGGCGGAGCCTGGAGCCTCGCGGTCCCGGAGTCGGCGGGGGCGCCGCCCCGCCCGCAGGAGAGCGTCCCCCGACCCCCGGAGGCCTGGCGCCCGGGAGGCGTGGCGGAGCCGGGGACTCGAGGCCTGCGGGCCGCGCCCGACTGCCGGCTCCGGGGCCGCTCCGGCGGAAGGGCGCGCGCGGCGGGCAGCCACTTCCGGGGGCGGGGCGGGGGCGGGGCGAGATATTAGCTCCCGCCCGGCCCCAGGCTGCGTGCCAGGCGCTCCCTTCCGCGTCGCTCTGTCCATCCATCCATCCATCCATCCGGCAGTCCGTCTTGAGCGCGCGGCCGCAGCAGGTTCGGGGCAGAGCTGGGCGCGCGGTTCCGGGCATGGGACTCCAGCGTCCAGAGCGCGTCCCGCGGCCCCGCCCAGGAGGCGAGCCCGGGCTCGGGGCCGGCTGGGGTCGTGTTCTCTGGGGCGCAGGGATGCCCTCCGCGTCCGCAGAGATCCCGCCCTCTGCTGGGCCTGTTTCCCTGCCAGCTCCGCAGGACGGCGTGGAGTGGCTGCGTGGGGTGGGGTGCTGCCTGGGGCCACGATACCCTCACCCCGGCCCCTTGGGACGGTTGGCCTCGGTGACTGTGGTTTCCTTGCGCAATCCCCGCAGCCCGCTTCCTGCTGGGAGTCAGGGGGATGGGTGCACAGAGGGACCCTCTTGTTGGGTGACGGGTGCTCGCTTAGCTGGATGGGGTATGATGGTAGCTGGGAACTGTTTTCCCCGTGGTAGGGGAGGCATCTGGGGCTGAGGTACCCAGAGGTGCCCTCGTGCAGACCTACCACACCCCCAGCAGGCCGGAACCGAGCGCCCCCGTCATGGGCTGGGGAGCCGGTGGGAGCTGCACCCCGCGCCCACCCATCCGCCAGCAGCCGGCGTCCGAGGCGCGCGTGATCACTGTGGTCTTCCTCGGCCTCCTGCTGGACCTGCTGGCCTTTACGTTGCTGCTTCCCCTGCTGCCTGGCCTGCTGGAGAGCCATGGCCGAGCCCACGTGAGCCCGATCCCACGTCCCGATGCCCCTGCCCCCACCGGGGCTGCCCACTGCTCTCGGCCCGTCAGGGACTTCCCCAGCCCTTGTCATGTTACCTTGTCCCCCAGGACCCACTCTACGGCTCGTGGCAGCGAGGGGTGGACTGGTTTGCTGCAGCCATCGGGATGCCAGTGGAGAAGAGGTACAACAGTGTCCTGTTTGGAGGTATGGCCCTGAGCCCCACGCTGGGGGCCCCTAGGGTCCTAGCTTCCTCGACCCTTCCTTCCTTCCCTGGGCTCCTTGTCAATGCCAGGTCTTTGTCCACGCCTTCTCGCTCCCTCTGCTTCCTGAGTGTCCATCCACGGTGTCAGGGCCGCCTCCACTTGAGGTCCATGGCCTGGGAGAGCAGGGCCAGTGTGATCAGACCCTTGGGGACTGAGTGAGGTACGGTGACCATGACCTCTGTCTTTCAGGTCTGATTGGCTCGGTGTTCTCAGTCCTACAGTTTCTCACAGCACCGCTCACAGGAGCCATCTCTGACTGCCTGGGAAGGCGCCCGGTGATGCTGCTGTCCCTGGTATGGGTGCCAACAGGCAGGGGTGGGGGTGGGGGGTGGGGAGCATGCAGCTTTCTCCCGCTTCAGCAGCTCTCTGGGGAGCTAGAGGTCAGCTGCGGGCCCCTCATTGGCCCTCACCACTCCCTGGGGGTGGTGCTTGATGGAGCTGTAGCTCTTGTGTCTAAGCCAAGCTGTCCTAGAGCTGCTCCTACCACCCACGGGGCAATGGGAACACAAGTGGCCCTTGGATGTCCCAGAATAGGGCAGGTTCCCAGGAGTGTTCCTGGGTCTGCTGGCCCAGCCTCTGGGCCACTCCTGGCTTCAAGTGACCGTGCCTGCCCTTGGCCCCTGCCCTGAGGCAGGCAGGTCTGGCCGCGTCGTACGCAGTGTGGGCTGCCTCGGAGAGCTTTGCGGCCTTCCTGGCCTCCAGGGTGATTGGCGGCATCAGCAAGGGGAATGTCAGCCTCTCCACAGCCATTGTCGCCGACCTGGGCTCTCCTCCTGCCCGCAGCCGTGGCATGGTGAGTGCACATGCTGGGGGATGAGAGACGGGGGACTCCAGGGCCAAGGTCTCCCTCTTGGCTCAGGCGGCCTTCTCCTCAGGCAGTCATCGGGGTGGCCTTCTCGCTGGGCTTCACACTGGGTCCCATGCTGGGTGCCTCCCTGCCCGTGGAAACGGCGCCCTGGCTGGCCCTGCTCTTCGCAGTCTCTGACCTGCTGTTCCTCTTCTGTTTCCTGCCGGAGACGCTGCCCCCGGAGAAGCGGGTACGGTTGGTCGCACAAACGACTGACAGGTCCCTGGGCTGGGGGCTCGGTTCCACGGGTCTGTCGGGATGCCCATCCTGTGTGCCACTCCCAGGTGCCGGGGAGGCTGGGCTGTGCTCTCCTGTTGTCCTCTAGGCCTGGCAGGTGGACTGGAAGCCAGGCTGGCTGGGGCCTTGAAGGGTGCAGGTGCCGAGCAGGTTTGGGTCACACTGTCCACAGGCTGCCAGGGGAGCCTCCAGCCCCCCCCGGCAGGCATCTCGAGTTCTGCCCCCTCTAGGCGCCCTCCGTGACCCTGGGGTTCCGAGCTGCTGCCGACCTACTCAGCCCCCTGGCCCTGCTCCGTTTCTCAGCTGTGGCCCAGGGCCAGGACCCACTCTCTGGAGAAAGTAAGGCGTGGCCCCTCCCAAGGGTGGGCCCTGCTGCCATGCAGCTGTGGACTTGCACAGCTCACAGACTTTCCTGCTACTCCAGGGCTCGGCCACCTACGCCGCCTCGGCCTGGTCTACTTCCTCTACCTCTTCCTGTTCTCGGGCCTGGAGTACACGCTGAGCTTCCTTGCGCACCAGCGCTTCCAGTTCAGCAGGTGGGAGGGTGGGCTCCTCGAAGGACCCTGCCTGGGGCCCCCTACTTCAGGGCTGGATCCCACCCTGGCTTATCCCCTGGGGCCCAGCCCAGGAACCTGGGTCGTGCGGGGGCTGTCACCCGGGCTCCCTGGCTTGGCGCGTTGGAGCAGGGCTGGGCAGCTGGCCAGCAGGGCTGGGCACTAAGGGCCACCCCCCAACCCTCCCTTCCCCGCCCCCCTCCCCAGCCTGCAGCAGGGAAAGATGTTTTTCTTCATCGGCCTTACCATGGCCACCATCCAGGGCGCCTACGCCCGGCGGATCAGCCCTGGCAGGGAAATTGCAGCTGTAAAGCGGGTATGGAGGCTACTCCGGAAGTGGAGGGCAGGCGGTATGCTGGGTTCTGCTGGCAGCAGCAGGGGTGGGTCCTGAGGCCTGCTGTGCCTGCCCACAGGCCATCCTGTTGCTGGTCCCCGCCTTCCTCCTCATCGGCTGGGGGCACACGCTGCCTGTGCTGGGCCTGGGGCTGCTGCTGTACTCCTTCGGTGAGTAAGCCCTCCAGGGCAAGGGGTGCGGTAGGGGGCTGGCGACTGGGAATCCCTCCAGGTCACAAGCCCACCTGCTCTCCTCTGGGCTGACGGGTGCCTCACTCATGTCCCCTGCCAGCTGCTGCTGTCGTGGTGCCCTGCCTGTCTTCCGTGGTCGCCGGCTATGGTGAGAGGCCCTTCTCTTGACTGAGGCCACCCAGGTGGGAGGCTGGCTGGCACCTGATGGCCTGTCCCCTCTCCCCCACAGGCTCACCTGGGCAGAAGGGCACCGTGATGGGCACGCTTCGGAGCCTGGGCGCCCTGGCCAGGGCGGTGGGGCCCATGGTGGCCGCCTCAGGTGAGGGCCGTGGGATAGCACTTGGGGCACGCTGTGCACGCTTGGTGGCCAGGCCCCAGGGGGCTGCTGCCTCCGGGGGCAGGCCTGCCTCAGCTGCCTGCGTCTGCTCCTGCCTCTTCCATTCCAGGCACTTAACCCAACAGCTCAGTCCTGCCATCCTGGGGCTTCTGGGTAGCGAGTTGGGGGCCCAGGTCACTGCTCAGGCTGTCTCTCCACAGTGTACTGGCTGGCGGGGGCCCCAGCCTGCTTCACCGTGTGCTCGGGGCTCTTTCTGCTCCCCTTCGTCCTCCTGCGGAACCTGAGACCTACAGCACAGACACTCAAGGCCGAGTAGCTGAGCCAGTCCTGCCTCAGGCCGGGGGAGCTGAGGCAGAAAAGTGGAAGGCTCAGGCCAGGACCACTCCCCACTGCTGGCCTGACTCCGCCCTTGGCCCTGGAGCCTAGCCCAGGGAGGCCCAGAGGGCCCGAGACACTCCTCTCCCTCCTCGCTGGTGGGAGGGACCTGGGCAGCCCTGCCTGCTGCACACAGAGCAGAGCGGCACGAGTGACTCCAAACCTTCCGAGTGACTCCAAACCTTGCGGGCTTTTGATTTGCTGGTGTTTTACTCAGCAACTCAGGGTGTCAGTCTGGCATCTAAATGACAAAATAAAGCAGCTATTTTATACCAAGTGCTCTTTTCCAGTACACAGCTTCCCTCAACACACACCACACCTGGGGAGACCCCCAGGCAGCAGTGGCATCAGCCAGCGTGGGACGGCTCTCGGGCCTGCAGACCAGATAAGACACAGGACCCAGCCGTGTCTTCTGCACATGGCGAGGGGAAGGCGTCAGACGCAGGGCCCTGCAAGACGGTTTGGCACCAGCCAGGTGACACCTGGATTGTGCCTTACAGACTGGGGCTGGGGCCCCTCTGCTGGGCCGTCCCTGTCACAGATTGTAGCCGGGCCGACTGCAGGGTCTGCTCAGATGGTAGGGGACATGGGGCTATCAGGACGGCCTTGCCCAGCAGCCCCCAGCCACCACTGTCAGTCCCCAGGGAGGAGCAAGCTGGCACCAGGGCAGTGGGTTTTGGGTTAGAAGGTCCTCCCCAGTCCTAAGCGACAAATGGTGTTTCATCAAGAAAAAAACGCTTTGGGGTCTTTTTTGGAACATGAGACAAACTTATGGAAGCCCTATTTTAAAGGGACAAAGAAAAGGAATTAAAATGTAACACTGCTTCCCAGGTTTAGACAAGGAAACTGCTGAAAGAACTTTATTTGTGAGTAAAACGTGTTACAATGAAGAAAGGATGCAGGGCTGCCTTGTAAGCCTGTGTCCCTATATGCGACTATACTTCATGTTGTAATACAAAGGGTTAAAATAAACTACAAAAGGGAAATTAAAGTCATTGCATATGTGGGAGAAAGGAGGGGCAAAGGAAGAGTCCATGGTTAACTCAAGGACAGGGTGATGGTGGGAACTTGAACATACCTTGGTGACAAAATGATACACAAGAGAAGCAGCTTGCTTGTCAGTAAGCTCGAAGCAGTGTTCGGGGCCATGCAGCCAGCCTCAGGTCCCGCTTGGGTGTCCAGTCTGTGGGTCCACCAAGGGCCCCTCCCCACTCCCCAGGGGGCCGGTCTAAAGGACAGGCAGGCTTGCCCGCACTGGGCTGGCACCAGGCAGCTCTAGAATAGAACGGGTCACTTTGAGGAGTCCATGGGGCCACCAGCTAGTTCCCACTAAGCAGCTTTACGCTATTTTCCAGGGATCTGAGTTACGGGAAAATTCACACCGGTGAGGAAAGGAGAGCAAGTGAGGGCTCCACGAGTGACGGGGCACGATGTCACGTGGGGACCACCAGGGCCGGCTTCTGCCTTGAGCTACCCTTTACCAAAACCAGGGTGTCTCAGGCTGAGTTAAGGGAGAGTAGATCCTTCTCAGTAGTGAAATCTCCCCTCAAACAGGAACACTGTTCTACAGCAGTCTGCAGCAGGCCCTTGAGCGAACTAAAGCAAAAAGTGGCCCTTCACGTTCACAGTCAGAAATGTAGGGTGAACTGCAAATCTGCTGGAAGAAAATGCTAGAAAGGACTCTTCCCCTCCTGATGCACCTTCCCCATGACAGGACTCTAGAGCCGGCAGAGAAGCGGAGCCCTGACTGGGTTGGCTGTGGGGGAATCGGTTAGACCGTGCACAGGCTGCAGTGGGTGCACACAGGCCTGTCTGCTGCAGGCTTTCCAGCTCCGCTCAAACCTGCCTCTTGAAGGCCGTCCTGGTGCCGTGGGCCCTTGGCAGGCACATGGGTGTTTTCACAGGACCGAGGCTCTGTACACAAAGTGAGATCACTGAGCAGATGGTGCCAGCAGGAAACACCCGACTCAGTCACCTGAGACCTTGGGGTAAAGGGGAGCCTAGCAGAGACAGCATGGGTTACTTCACTGCAGGAGAGCAAGAGAGGTCAAGGCCAGACCCGCAGGGCCTCTGACCATCCAGCCAGAACCATGACTTAATGCCCCAGGGAGAGTGCGTCACTGAGGAGCAGACTGAGAGGGCGCGGAGGTGGACGTGACCAGGCCTCCCCTGGGACCTGAGGCTGAGGGCCCAGGAGGGGCGTCCGTGCGCACGTTAGCGCCGTCTACATGGGGCTGGTCATGGCGGGGCGGGAGCTCTAGCTACACGAGGGGAGGGCTGTTTGCATTCCATCACACAAGAAGACAACACAGGACACAATCGGGGACAGTCTGGTGGCATCGGTCTGTGCGAGACGGGCCTTCAGCAGTCGCCTTTCTTCTTGCTCTTCTTCAGGAAGGAGGGGGTACGGAATTTCTTCTTCTTCTTGGACGGGGATTTGCCTGGAGACTCATCGCTGCCGGGGTCATCGGCAGCTGGGGAGGCGGCCTCTTCAACCACTTGGGCTGGGGCTGGCTCGGGGCTGGCCACCGTGGAGGACCTGGTGGGGTTTAGAGGGCCACGGGCTTCACAAAGGCCCTCTTCCTCCTTCTCCGATGTCGGGAAGCCAAGCGCTTCTGAAGGCTCATCAGGGGACAGGTCAGGGAGAGTCGGCTTAAAGGTGGCGGCATCACTGTCGTCTCCGGAAGTGGGCTCCTGTGGCAGGTCTGGTGGGCAGGGTAGGAGAGACAGGGTTAAAGGGCACCTGCCCGGACGGGCCTCCAGGGAGGCTGTGCCCTGCACAGAAACTGCCACTGCACTGACTGCAGGGTTTTACCAAAACGGGAATAAGAAACTGTCAGTCAGCTCCACTCTAACGGAAGGCTGCATGTGGCCCACTATACACAACACAGACCCCACTGGGGAGGTTTGTAGCTCCTCCTCCTGGAAGCATGCTGACAAAAGCAGGCTCAGGCTCAAGGCCTCAGCCCCCAGTTAGGGTGGTCAAGGCAAGCTGCGGACATTCTCAGGGTACAATGGTCTGCATTAAACTCTCGAAATGAGGTTTGCTCTAGAACCCTAAAGGGCATGTATTAGAAGTCTTGAAATTAAATCTAAATTGGGGTCCACAACACCTGGTCTCTCCCAGAGACAATCATGGAAAACAACGGCAGCCTGTGGAAAACCATGAGGTAACTCCCAGACCCATGTGCAACATCAACAGCAAACAAAACAAAGCCACTTTCATGGAAGAATTAATGAAAGGCAAAGAAATACAATGTAAAGTAAAGGATAGGGGCAAAAATCAAGCCATGTAACAATCTGAATATGGAAACAAAAAGAACACAATGTAATGCCTTAAAGAAACAGCCTGAGGGCTGGTCTGCAGTGAAGGTTCCCATCACCAGTCACACTGACCAGGGGAAATCCATTTTGCAGATTTTAAAAAATAGCCTACAAAGTTACAAGCTACTGGCAGGTTAGGGTTTAGTACTTAACATGAGGCAGACATCAGGAGGTAACGGCACTGAGCTGTGTGTGGGTGACAAGCGAGTGGCCGCAGGAGGCGGGCCCCCAACACGGACTTAGCGCTTGACTCTGGGAGGTCAGCTCGCCCACTCCACAGGAGGAAGTTAGGGGACACCTTCGAAACATGCAGAGGCTGCCTGTGGGCGCTCAGGGGAACGTTTTATCATCGGACCAAATGTCACATTAAAAAATGGTGCCAATGTCACTCTTCTGCCCCAACTCAAATTAAGCTTAAGCACTGAGCTTAAGTAAAGGTCCAAACACATTCAACCCCCAAGCAGCGGATGGCAAAGTCCCACCAGGCCTGAACTGAGTCTGGACCTGGGCCTCCCCACTCAGCCATCACGAGGCTCGAGAAGGCTGGGCAGGATGACATGCCCTCTGGAACCTCCAGGACTCACAGGGCTATGAGAACCATCCCCACAGTCCGTGGGAGCCAGGGGGCCAGGCTGCCCAACACACAGCCCTCAGGTGACCGCGCCCCTCCCAGGAAGGCCACTGCCCAGAATGGAGGGACTGGGTACAAAGGTGGGGGGTGGGCAGACCTCTGTTTTTACTCTGAATAAACAGAAAACAAAACTTGACAAGCAACAGAGAGGCAGGAGAATGAGGCAAAGCGCGGGGAGCCAGGCGCGGTACTTACTAGGGTAACAGGACGGCGTGGTACTTACTATGGTAACAGGTACTCTTTAGCACATCCACCTCCCGCTGGCAACGCAGCCACAAGAAGAGAAAAGCACAAGTACAGTCACAGCCACTGGGTCACAGAAGGAGAATGGCTGGGCCATTCTTGTGGACACAGAGTGGGGTGGAAGGTGAGCCACAGGCCCCCAACAGACACGGGAAGCGCGACGTACAAGATCCAGAGACAGACACGCAAGCCACACGCCACAGACACGCACTGCATGGTCTGACGGGCCAGCGGAGGCCACGCTCTGCATGGACTGGTTAACCTGGCAAGTAGCCCAGACGCACGGAACACGTTTCCAGAGGCGTATTCCGAGTGAGGTTTAGGAAATGTGCAAGCAGTGGGCGAAATCGACATAAGCGAAGGTGGGTTCCAAGCCCCGGGCTACATCCTCCCCACCGTGTTGTGACATCTCACTAACCAATCTGTGTTGCCTCACGTTACGCAGGACAGAGCCCACACAGGAGCCGAGGGGCCAGGGAAACTCGGAACCATGTGCTGTCCGGGTTTCCATGCAAATGCACACACGTCTATGTTAGTGCCCTTCAACTACTGCCACACACAGTCGCTCTGCTTCCACAAACACATGACGCTTGCCCCCACCCCCGTGGATGCCAGTCCACACAGGACCATGCACCCGCCCCCATCCCCGCGCTCACCTTCCTCCAGCTTGACGGGGGTGCTGGGAGGAGTGTGGGGGGCAGCAGGGTGCTCCGGGAGACTGCTCTCTTTCTGCTCTCCGGTGCCATCCAGACTCTCTGTAGGTGAACACAGGTGAGAAGGGCTCGGTGAGGAGAGCTGCCATGTGCCTTCATCCTCAAGGGCAGGCAGGCCCCGCCCTGCCCATCAGCTGCCTCAGGGAGAACGGGGCTTCCGAAGGTGCACCCAAAGGACCAGAAAGGGCTCACAGTCATGGCTGGCTCTTTCCTTTCCTGCATTCCTCCCCAAAAGAGGAGGTGGGGATCTGAGTCTCAGAAAGATTTAACCAACTCTGGATATAAAATTAATTTCTATTCTTATTCCCAAGAGAATCTGGCGGAGCTGCCTCTGCAACACACTGACTGGTGACCCCTGGCCTGGAGCCCTGGCCGCGTCCTCACTGTGCAGCCTCTCGTGCTGCTCAGCAGGCAGCCCTGGGGCCCCAGCACCCTCACCACCTCGGAGCCTCCCAGGACGTTCCGTAAGCACTACTTAGGTTTTAGTTTTTTATGCAGAGTGTTTTCTACCAGTAATTTAAACTTGGCAACTGTGTGTTTTCCTTTTCTAAAGTACAATATGCTGATAAGGGCCAGGGGAAAAACTGCAGAAACTAAAACCCAGGATCTAGAATGTTCCAAGTCTACCTCTCATTAGGGAAAAATACCCCAGTGTTATCCTGACTCTTTAACTCTCCTTCTGTCATTGAAACCTTGTATATTACTAGCTTAGGATCACTAAGTCCCGTACTGTCAGCAGGGCCTCGGATCTGACTGAGATGCAGACCTGCCTCCCGAAGCCCCCGGGGCCTGCAGCTACCCCCGGAAGCCAGGTGTCTATCAACAAGGGTCCTCCCGAGCCCGAGGCTTGCTCCCCCCTCCCTGAGGTGCTGACTTGACAGATAGCTTGTTTTACCTGTGGCACATGGCCACCCCCTTGCCCATGCCAAGGGCCAGTTCCAGGAAGGGGTCTCTGGCAGTGCCCTGGCCAGCACTCCCACTCAGAGAATGGTCACAGCTGTCCCATCCACTCACTTGCCCTCCTGATGGGAGCTTCGCATGAAGAGAAACTTGTGTCTTGTGGTTGGAGTCAAAAAAGAAAAAAGAAATCCAGGTCTCGCAGACACTGGGAGGGCCTGAGGGGCACATGCACACTCACGCGTGCACAGGACTTGGGATCAGGCCACAGGACCCACGGCTCAGGCGCACCACCTCCTCTGGCTCTTACTCTCAGGCAGGCAGTGGCCACCTCGGCTCACGGAGCTCTCTCTGGGGCCGGGCGCCACTGAGGGGGTGGTCAGAATCGAAGATCCCTGTGCTGGCTGGGAGAGTGGCCTCACTCTGAGCTGATGTGTGTGAGTCTTAATTTCAATGCACAGCTGACAAAGTGACAGGCGGTGACAGTATAACACATATTGAAAAATAAATCAGCAATAGTTTTTCACACAACTTAAATTTCAATAGAAGCTACATAATGCATTTAGTTGGTCTAAAACAAGACTGAAAAAAGTTAACCTGGGACAAATAGGAGATTGTCTGAGAGCAATACACAGTTCCCAGGGCAATCCCTATGGGCCCAGGACGGTCATCGCCAGCCCCACACACTGTGGGTCGCCCATTTCAGGAAGGCTGATTCCCAGGGGTCAAATGAGGAAGAAGTATGGTCCCCGCTAAAAACGTGAGGCTTCGCGGCTGCCCTGAAGACGGCAGCATGAGACTCCTGGAGGGAGGACGTCTTTGCCCAGGGTCTTCCTGGGATGCACAACCTTGTGCTTGGGGACCCACTCTAACTGTTGGGAACAGGACCGTCTCTCAGGGTTACTGTGAGGACAGGATGAATACACGCATGCGCTATGTTCACCATGGCGTGTGGCAGTGTAACTGCTCACAAACGGTTAGTATTAATGAGGCCATACGAATCAAAGGAGGCCTCTTCTTCCTGCAACTTTCAGAGAAAAGCACTGCATGTCTCAAAGTGCTAAGTGACTTAAGAATGACACTGAGACTGGCTTTCCCACTAACTGTTCTGGATCAATGTCCCGATCACTCAGTGTGGACAGCAATCCAGCTGGAAGGAGGAGGACCACCCATCACACCCCAGAGCTCTGGATGGCAGTGTGCCTGTGGATGCTGCTGAGGCCACAGAGGCCTGGTGTCCCCGATGCCTTCTCCCCTCTTTCACCCCGTCTTCATGACCAGCCTCGTTTGGGTGGAGGCACTCAGGACAGAGGGGTGCCACCCCTCGTGCCTTGAGACAGCACACAGGACGTCTGGCAGTGGTCCCGTGGAGCTCTCAGATGTCTCGAACGCATGTACTGGTGGGTCCCCCCTAACCAGAGCACTCACAAGCGGGCTGAACCATCTACTTCCTTTGGCACTCACCTGAATGACTAGGCAGGAAATGTGTACTAAGTGACATTCTGGCCTTAACCGAACACTGGGTTTGTCTTTCATGTGGGGAACTGCTCTCATCAGCAGCGGCAGTCACCCCCTGGAGTGCAGCGGTGCTGGCTACTGGACCCAGCCAGGCTGAGCCTGCCCCCAGGGCCCGGGCCCCGCAAGCACTCACCTCCGGGGCCCTTCTGCTTCCGCTCTACCTCCCGGCGATACTCCTCCAGCTCTCGGTCGGTGAGTGTGTTGAAGGGATTGGGGCCCGTGGTGCTGACGATGACGTGGGGCTGGTACTCCTTCTCAATGATGGCCTTGGAGGCCGTCACCAGCTCCCCCTGCAGACAAAAAGGGCTGCCCAGTCTGCCGGGGCCCTGCCCCAGAAGGATTCTCCCTCCTCCCAGGCCAGGCTGCAGGCAAGGTGGGGTGGGAAGGTTTCCAGGACACACAGACACCCGACACACGGCCCGGCATCACCTCAGGCCCTGAGACTGAGCTACAGCCTTCAGTAGGGGGGAGAGAGAAACACGATCTTGATGCTACAAAATAAATGTCAGAGGACAAAAGAACCCTAGGAAAACCCGCAGGTTTCAGAAGCACCTCAAGGAGAATCCCGTGTTCTCACTGACATGGACGTAAGAGGAGACTTTTTAAGTCAAGTACCCTCCTTACGACATCAGACAATGTCACAGATTACAACACTCCCGGAAGGTACGCTTGGAGCTCTGCTTCTGTTCTAAGAGCACAGATAAGTTCTGTCCTTCTGACTATGCACTGCATTTATAGTTACATCCCAAGACGCTGAGATAACAGAACCTCCCCAAACCCCAGTACTTGTCTGAGGAATTCAGTAAACAGAGAGCTTGCAGAAAGGCAGAGCAAAGCACTGCACAGCACAAGGGCGGCTCCCAGACCATGCTCAGTCTTCAGGAGGTGGCAGCTCCGGCTGGCCCGGAGGGAGGGGGCCAGGCGGGCAGCCCACGGGGGTGCAGACACCCCACACTCACCTGCCCCAGCACATCTCTGTGCCCCACGGCTCGGCCTGGTTGGGCTCTGGGGTTCATTTTTGAGAAAATTAAGCAGAACTCACACACGTTCCCGTTACTTAACGAGAGCTTCCAAAAACCACTGAAAACAGGAGAATCCAAAATCATTCTGATGCCAGGCCTGGCCCATCAGCGCTCCCCTCAGTGAGGGTCCCTGTCCTGCAAGCTGGATACAGAGTGTCTGGAGTACTCACCCCATGACTGACCAGTGCCAGTGACGCAGACCCCGCGGGAGAGAAGGAAAGGGCCAGCTGGGATTGGCAACCTTGTTCAGAGCCTCGAGAGCTGAGATGACCCTCTTTTGACCACGCCTGACCCAAGGTCGACTGGTTTGTCATTCAGCAGCAGCCCTGCCTCCCAAGACAGGGAATCGGATCCCCACCTGCCACTCGGCAGCTCTGGGCCCGAGGTAAGCCCCTCCTGTCCCCAGGCCTCTGTTTCACCATCCCGAGAGGGGCCCGTTGGGCTGAGAGCAGCTCAGGTGCCGTGGTTGCTGTCATTCTGTAGGTCTATAGCAACGTGGCAAGTTGTGTCTGTATCCTCATCTCACTGCCAGGAACACAGGGAGGTGATATGAGGTTTGGGAAAAGTGCTTAAATTCACTTAAGTCTAATGTTAAACTTTAAAGGAATAAAATATCAAGAACTAACTGCTACAGAGATGCCCCATGGACAGGTAAGGGTGTTCCTGTGCCAGAACACCTGGCCCTCCAGGTGCCACACAGCTGTTTCCCCCCCAATGGCAGGGGCTCGCTCCCTACTCAGCAAGGGCCAAGCTGCCATCAAGACCAGCTCTGAACAGATCTGGGGACAGAGGGACCCTGTTACTCTGGAGGTTAGGAAGAAGAGCAATGCTTGAGGTGCAGAGAAAAACAGGCCCTGTCTGGTGCAACCCAGGCTGAGAAGTCAGGATGTGCAATGGCTGCCCTCCAGCGGGCATGCGGAGGAGCCCACTGCTTCTGTCGCTTGCAGTCACCAACCCGGCTCTAAGCAAAACAGAAGCCTAATCACTACTTCTGCACTGGACTGAGGCAGCTGGTGTGGAATGAAGCTGTGCAACTCTGGGCTGGTGACCTGACCTCTCTGAGCATCAGGTTTTCATCTGTAAAACCCACGCAGATTTGAATTTGCTTTCTCAGTGCTGGGCCACGCACATGCCAGGTGCTCAACACCAAGCTCGCAGAGTGAGTCCACAATAGGCCTGCCTCCCGTTTCTCTCACGCAGCATGAAGGGTGGCTGGCAGTGGGACACACGGCCCAAGTGACAGGTGCAGCAGGACAGAGAAGCTTGGGCTGTACAAATGGCACAGCAGAGTTTCTCCCTGAGCTGGGCAGCTCTCGGCGTAAACTTTCACCCCCTAATCTCTAACAACTCAATTCACTGGTGAAATCCAGCAGGTGGCCAAAATGACTTCCGGTCACACGCTGGCATGCGTGAGGCCGAGTCCAGAGAGCCTTGGCTGGGCTTACTGTGCCCTGTGGCACTGGAGCTCGGGTGTGGAGGACAACTTGCTGCCCCCTCTTCTGGCAGAAGACACCACCTGCTTTGTGTCAAAGGCCATCAGTGAGGGAGAAGTGGAACCAGAGGAAAGTCCTTCCAGAAAAGCCCAGCTTCCTGGGTCCCCAGTCCCCACCCTCAGGCTCTCAAACGGGAAGCAAGTATGCACACACCTGCCTTACTGGGAAGAGGGCATCTTTAAAGTACACAGTCCTTTCACCTGGTCAAAGAGAAACATAACCTGCCAGGAGCAGCGCCATCTTCCAGAAGCATCCCTGTCCTCTGTGCTTCAAGGTCCACATGCAAAGACGTAAAGGACATCAGGGGCACCGTAAGTGAAACAGGCTGTGGCAGTGGGAAAAGACCAAGGTGCAAACGGGAACGCCTGAAAGAGGACGGGGCGGGGGACTGCCAGCCAGGTCTGGGACAGGAGGCCGTGTAAGGAGCAGCTCCTCAGCCGGGCGCAGTGCGAGCGGCTTCCTCAGAATGCCACCTGGACACGTCCCTCACAGCCTCGTCTGCTGTTTGCACTTGGGGAGGGCTTGGGACTCACCAGGAATCCCACTCCCACAGAGCCTCGACCTGACAGCTGGGCCAGGAGGGGCCCACGCCTACGCTTCGTGCAGCATTCCCAAATGAATGTGACACACACCCAGGTCTGAGCAGTGGACAGAGCCAACCAAAACCGTCTGGACAAGGAACTGGCCAGAGCAGCATCGCCCAGTACAGCTAAGCAGTCTGCCCTCAAGGCAGCCCTAACAAGGTGCAGACAGAAACCACTACCAGCAGTCTAGTGCCAGAGCCTGGACCAGTCGGCTGAGGGCCAAGTGGACTCGACACACCTTCACATGCCTGAGACAAAGAATCAGGGGCCAACAGGACCACAAGGGCTGACAGCCCAAAGTACCGAGACATGAAAACCACGGTAACAGGGACAAGAGGACATCTTTCTCTCTTGCTCTAAGAAGTTCCTCCAAGCACGGTAGCTGGAAGTACATTGTAAGAACGAGGGAAAACAATAGCCACTGAACAAACACACCAATATGCAAAATAATGTTCTTGGCGGAGATGCCTGGCAGGAACACAGCATCTTCTCTACCTCTCTCTGGCAGTTGGAACATCGATATGACGACACTTGCACCTCACTGGAGGTGCACCAATTGAAAGGGAGAGACCTTGAACATGTCCTCTGAACACAGGGTAAACTTAACTAAGCCTGAGCCATGCCATCAGCCCTCTCGTCCCTGGGCGCCAGGCCTGCACCCCGGCAGCCTGACAGCTCAGAGCGGGTCTCCCCCGACCCAGGCCAGTTACACCAGACAGGTTCCCCACGTGTGCAGCAGCACATGTTACGCTAGGTATGCGTGTACATAGAGAAACTAGTTAGGGGTTTCAAATTTTCATGCTTTCCCCCCCTTGCAACATTAAAAAAAAAAAATCTAGGTTTTTTTTAAAAGGTAAAACTAAAGCATTTCATCACCAAGGACTGACAAAGACTGTCTGCTTTGTTTCCCATTCCTCTGAAATGACGTCTTTCAATTATACAGCCTCCGAATGCCACGGTCATTACATGTACAGTCACAGCTGAGCAAGCGAAGGGACAAGGTGACAGGGGAGCGCTGCCACGGATCACGGTTTACCCTCGAGCCTTCTGCAATCAGCATCATGTAACAAACTCCCCAAAGCCCAAACATGCACTAACCAAAGTCCATGCAGAGCTGCAGAACACAGTGAACACTGGCCACGCAACACCAACGCAGAACGCCGACCATCAGGAAATAATCTCGTACCAAATGTTCTAACTAAAGAATAGAGCCAGCAGAACAGAACCTTCTGTACAGTCTCAGGAATAATTTAGAGACCCGCTCTCAGCCACTCCAGTACCTAAGACAATGCCTAGCGAGCAGACAGGTGAGGGACGGCAGGTAGAAGGGCAGCGTGTGCCGACAGGTGGTTCAGGGCAGGGCAGTGAGTACCTTTCTAACAGACACAGACTTAGCAGGACTAAAGGTCTGCTCTGGGAGCTCGAGCCCTTCGATTGTCTCCGTACAGTCAGACAGGGGGGCATCCTGCAACAGTAAACTGAGTCAGCAGAGCCCGCCAGGCCCAGCTTTGAAGTACCAATGAGCGCACAGGATGGAGCTGGCAGAGAGCATGCAGCAGGGGCGGCTGGCACAGTGGACGCAGCGGTGACACGGTGCTACGTGCAAACACGACCACAGAACAGGGCCGTGGCTGGCCGAGTTCAGGAAGGCAGTGACAATCACCTACCCTGCAGAGTCGTGTGTGAGGTTTCAGAGGTAACTACTTACACGATTACCTTCCACATGCCACGAGGCACAGTCCTTTCTGAGAAAGGCCGGAAATGGGGACCACATTTACAGGTCCCTCTGCGACCACTTCGCCCCAAGCAGCACTCCGTTGCAGGCAGCAACACGTACAGGAACACAAGGCCACTGACCCCGCCCTCTCCTAGCACTGCACACGCCCCTCAGACTGGGCAAATCCACCCCAAAGTGGCCGTGTGCCGCCCTCGCAGGCATGCAGTGATGGAGCCGGGCTGGGGGGGACGCGGCCCCGGGCGTGCGCGCGCGCTTGGCCTAACTCAAGGAAAAGTGGTTGAGTGAGTTCTTCTTGTGGAGATTTTTAACAAAGACAACTGGCTGCCTAGAAAGAACACTTACCTCACAGAGCCACCCTCTGCCAACGTAAGAGTAATTTTGGAGTGGATGGCCATTCGAGCCCCCACTCACTAACAGCAGAGACGTTCTGAGCTCTCACCTGGACGAGGCTCCTGTCCATCACTACACCACACAAAACCTGGGACTGGGGGCCGGCCGTCTTAATGTCCTGTAAGTTCTGCTCCCGGATCTGAGGACAGCAAGAAGGACAGACATTTACTGACAACACAGGGAAGCTGGGCTGGGGCTGCGAGTCAGAGCCACGTCCCCAGCCAAGCGCTAGCTGCTTGGAGCTCTGCTCTGTGCAGCCTGCTGGGTCCGCGTGACCACCCCACCTACTGGATGGTGCTGGTCCCACCGTTCAGTAATGTGGGGGCTTGGGTTAGAGGGCTTGTTCCTATACTCCGTACCTCTGGGTGATGGGCAAACACTCGAGGGCAAACGTCCCCTATAAGCCAGTCTTGGGGGGAGAGGGGTGTCGTGGTTTGGTAAACCAACAGTCACGTTGGTAAACCAACCCTGAAAGGCAGGGTTCCAGTGTGGCCCTGCTATTGTGAGGCAGAGTCAGCAGGCCCTGCGCCGTCTGCGGCTCACACATCACACTCTGGTAGGACAGCGGCCACAGCCATGCAGACAAGACCTCAGCTGCGATGACAGTGGCAGTGCAAGCCGCCTGTCCTCCTGCACACAAGGCCCCACCGGGTGCCGACCCGCACGGTACGCACCTTGTTCCTCGTCTCCTGGACCTCCTTGGGGTTGGTGTTCAGCGGGACGAACAGATTAGGGACAGCAGAGGTGGAAGTCCTGTGTCCATCCTCTCTAGTCCACTGTAATATCAAGAACAGTTGAAAAGTCAGAAGTGTGAGTACGATAAAGGACACCACAGAATCAATCTGTCCAACTTATCTCACATCTGGTCATGCACTGAACATCACAGAGAATGAACCAATGACCACACTCCTGCCCGTGCCCCTGCGGCGGTCAGATCCGGCGGGCATGTCCAAACAGAAACCAGCAATGGTGGAGGCCAGGTTGTGACTGTGCAGCAAGGGCCATTTAGACAGCCCAGCCGAAATCTAGGACACGACACAGGCTGACGACAGCGCAATGTCCCGTAACTCCCAAAGACTAGCCAGTGGGGACCCTTCAGAGCGCATTGGTTCACCGCTCTGAGAGTCATCAACACCGAAGCCAGCTGGAAGCATGAGATGACAGGATCATGGAAAGCGATGTGATGTGCTACCCAGACGTAGGGACAGACTCGGCACTGTGAGGCGAGAGTGGGCATCACCAAAGTTTTGCATGAAAACAAGGTACAGCATCAGAGTGCACTGTTTGCGTAGCTGTTTCAACCCAAGAAAATCACTGTATGAACGCTTATACGGCAGCTACCTGGTGAAGTTTGGTGATGTCGAATATTTTATATAACGTAGTACTTCTGAGTGTTACAAAAATATCCCAGACAAACTTGAAGCGCTTTATGAGTTCTTATCAGAAGGCTGTTTTAGATATCGTCAGCACACTGCGCCTTTCACATTGTTTTTTGGACCTCCAATCAAACATGAGATTTTTAATCGAATTCTAATTCTTAGGCACGAGCAGGCACTGAACATTAAAACAAGCCGACCTCAGAGAGCAAATGTGCTTTTCAGAATATTTTCAAGAGGCAATAAGGTAGCCATAAACCATAGACTGGAAAGAAAGCAACAAAAGTGGCAAAGGCTTAGGCACGCGAAAGAGGGAGGGGTGGACATGAGCTGTGAGGTACTCACTGATGGTTATCTTCCCAGAGAAAGTAACTCCAGCTTTTTATAAAAATAATTTTTAGTCAAAACATGAAAACCACCACCTGTGAAGCTTGAACACGTTTGAAAACGTAACGACAATGACTATAAGTTAAGTACCAACCTGGGAGCACCGCACGGGTGCTGTGTCTCTCCGGAGCCAGAAACAAACCCAAACGCCCGGCAAGATCTGCCCTCCCACGTACACTGACTACACGCCAAGCTAATAGTGAACAGAGTGCCAAGCCCCACTGCGCACACTCAGACCCCCGTCAGGGCGCACGGTGCAGTGTACTGATAGCAGCAGCACAGGCTGCCCAGGCCCACCCCCCTTTAACAAGTGAAAGAGAAACGAAACAATTGACACAAAGGAAGCAAAAAGGGGAAAGCGGTAGGCAACGAGGGAAAGAGAAAGGGACAGAGGGCAGGGAGGACAGGGAGGAGGGAGGGGAGGGAGAGAGGAGGAGGGAGAGAGGAGGAGGGAGGAGGAGGAGGGATGGGCTCAGACAGAGGGCCTGCCCCACACCGGCGGCGGCGAGGCTCCGGAGCACAGAGGCTCTCTCACCCACTGTGCATCAGGAAGACACCAGAAGCCCCGGGGAAGACAGAGCTTCTCTCTCTTAAGTAAATCTATAAGGTAAAAGCATGTTACAAGGGAAGAGGAGCCCCACTTGCTTCCTCGGGGCCCCTGCCTCAGGACACCGAGCCTGATTTCATCTGCACGCCACAACTAGTCATGCAGAGGTGGGTCTGTCCCCGCCTGTCCCCTCAGGAGACTACACTGCAGGGGCCTCTCCTACCCCACAGCGCAGGAGCCAGGGACTGTCACAGGCTCCACGGCTGAGCACCAGGGCGCAGCAGCTGTGGCTGGTGCCGGCAGGTGGCCTGCGCTGCACTTGGGTCATGCCGCACCCAGCAGGAGTCAGGAGACTCGGCACGATGGTGTCTACTCACATGCAACAGTCCATGCAGGAGGCAGCTGCAGAGAGCGTTCGGAGGCTTTGGGACAGGAGCAGGGAAGGAGGCTGACGAGGGAGGACCAGGGCCAGCTGAGAAGGTGTGCTGAGAAGGTGCCCGGGAGCCCAGGGGGAAACTGCTTAAGGACACACTCAAGACTTTAAAGAACAGACTTTAGTGACTTAATGAAACCAGTGGAGTTGACGACACTGAACAAACTGGTTATGACGGGACTACCTTTCGTGCCGGAGGTGTTAAGATTCTTCACATACAGTTTGGATTCATTGACAGCTCCCACTCTGAAAGTTACAATGTGTGGAGCTGGTAACGCTGCAGGCACTGGAGAGATGTGATGTCTCCTAAGCAGTTTAAAGCAGACAGCATTACTTGAATGATGGCACTGGGGCCAGGCTAACGGTTGAGGAGGAAGGCTCGCCCCACCGGTCAGAAGGGCTGCGTCCCAAAGCCTCCGAAGCCCCCGCTGCCTGATTCGCTCTACATCGTCTAACTATGAACAGTAAGGTAGGCACAGACCAAGCAGTTGGTAATACAGCTTGGCACGCAGACACCGGACGAGAGAGACTGCAGCAAGGGTTTCACGTGATCGTGTGTAATGTTCGTCCACACCTTAGTCTTCGACTTGGGGCTGCTTCCATTCTGCCCTTCCTCAGAGGCCTCGTCACCCCGGCCAGAGTTCAGCCACCTTGTCTTCTCTCGTTGCTGCTTCTGAAAACTGTGTCTGAGAGGAGAGCAAGTGCCCGAATCACCGTCACTAGCAAAGGAGTAACCTGTGACACTAGCAGGAACTTCCACATCGCTGTACTTTTTAGATTTCTCTCGCAGAGCCGGATATCGGTAAGGGTAGCCAGTTCTGTAACCCTAGGGTCCAAAGAGAGTGACAGACAGTCAATATTCCAGGTCTCCTACACAGACTCCTACAAAAGCTGCACACACGCACACCCTATGACTCAGCACTTCCACTCCTTGGCACGTGCCCGACAGGAACGCGAGTATGTTCATCAAAACACAGGAACTAGAATGCTGACAGCAGCACTCTTCCCAACATCCCCCAGCTGTAAACAGCCCAGAAGTCCATCACAAGTGGGATAGATAACTGGTGTTGTCACAGAACAGAGTACGTCACAGCAGAGAGGGTATGTACTCTATTGCTAAGCATAACATGAGGACGAGTCTCACAAGTGAGCACAAAAAGCACAAAAGAGGCAAAACCAACCTCTGCTGTGAGAAGACACCCTAGGGATGGTAAGTGACTGAAAGAGGGGATGGGGCTTCTAAGGGGCTGGTAGTGTTTTTTTGATCTGGGGGCTGGTTACAGTGCCTTCAGTTATTAAAAACTAATACACTGAATACTTACGTAGGTGCACTCTCCTATTTATTATATTTCAATAAAAAGTTAGATTAAAAAAAAAACAACCAGGGCTTACTTGCTGCTGGTTACACTACAGGTTATATTAACCAGTCTAGTTAATTTTTACTTTTTAAGTCACAGTTTAAATACCATGATAATCTTTAGAGAAGACCTAACAAGTATACTTCATGACACCCGGTTCTTGGCAAAATTACTTAACCGCTGACTATAACAACATGCAAGTTCAGCCTCCGACTCTGCCTCAAAACCATCTACTAACTATGCTTTAGCACACGCCCCACTCCTCCCACCTCTGCCAGCCTTAGCTGCTGTGCTGGACCAGCCTGTCTGCTCGTCGCCCCCAGGCAGGATCTCCAAGGCAGGGGTGGGGTCTTACTCATCCCTTGTCCTCAGTGCTCAGCACTTGGGGGGTCGCAGACAGACTTTAGGGTGGCCCCATGGTCGCCACCTCCTGTAATGCACTCCCCCCTGGAGTTTCTAACCAATGGAATTCACCAAAGGTGACAGGATGTATTACGTGAGTGTAGCGCCCACCCTGAGTCTGTCTGTTGCTGGCTCTGAAGAAGCAAACTGCTGTGACTGCCACAGCTGTGAGAAAATGGCCTCTGTCTCCAGCCTGCGAACACCTTGGGAGGGGAGCCCAGGCCGGGTCTGTGAGGCCCTAAACGAGGACCTAGCTCAGCTGGGCCCGCACCCCTGACCCCAGTTCGTATCTGGACCACGTTATTCACAGCACCTTCCCGGGGAATGAGAAGAAAATTAAGATTTGAAAGGATTACACAGGGTTGGTCATGTAAGAGGAGCCGTGGAGCACCCTGCTTGCCGGGCACTTCAGACACATCCCCTTCTTCTCCATCTAGTAACCCCCCTCCCCCTTCTGGGTGCTTCTCCTCTCTGGGGCCACCTTCATAACCAACCATTTAAAAATTTTTAAATACATTTAAAAAAGGATGGTACTAATCCCTGAATGGAGTAGTTATTTGTTTGCCCTCAGAAAGAGAGGTAAATGTCTGCACTGGCAATTTCCCATTTATGAGCATGCTTTGTTGAGGAATAATAAAAGATAATGACTCAGCTATAAGAAGGCTGCCTTCAGGAAAAGACAGTTGTTATTAATTCAAGTTTCCTCTTGCTCAGAGAGCTAGGGCTCGAGTAATCTCCATGACTTCAGGATAAACCAGCCAGGAAGTCACAAAAGTGTTCCGACAGGGTCTGGGTTTTTCTTTCTTCTTCCCCTTTAAATGCTGTCAATCCAAAATCAGAGGTAGTACACAGCGTTCAGACCTGCTGTATGGCGTATAGTTAAAATGTGGATGCATTCTTTCCTTGAGACGCTGGAATTAAATATATCTTGATTTTGTGGGAAACAATGGAGCATTTCTTCTGTGTATGTTCAAATGAAGTCTCTCTCACGGTGTGAAAATCTCCAACCATTCTCTGTTCAGTTATTAGCGAACACACATGGCTGATCAGAATGCTAATTAAAACATGGACCATGACCAGTGTCGCTGTCCAGTTTATTTCTTATAAACGACACGGCCTTCCAACGTTAAAACGATACTAATGACCTGTACACGTTAGGGAAACTGAATCAAACACCCTTGTCGTAACAACCTCTCATCCTTCAGTTTCCTCCCCCGTCGAATGAAGAGTTACTGCCTAATTCTAACTCCTCTCTCTCCAGCTTCCAGAACACTGAGTGCACAAGATGAGGTAGGTTGCTGTTCTTGATTCTTGTTCCTCTTTCCCTCTTCCCCACTTGACTTTTAGGTAGAAGAGCCATGAAACGTCCAAGTATTTGCCAGGAGGAGAGAAGGAGGGCTGTAAGACGGGGCCACCCCAGAACTCGTCACCTTGTTGGGCCCCCACGGGTATGTGACTCCCGACGTTGACGCCGGGGCCACAGCTGTGCCCCTCAAACCTTCTCTGGCTGTGTCTTTCCTGAGGTTGCACCGTCCTGCTCTGCCCCTAACTCCATCCGCTTCTTCCCTCGTCTTGGTGAGCTGTTTCTCTCCCTGCTTCCTTGGCTCATCCTGGCGCACACCCCATGTCTGCCCCTGAGATCCCATCACGCTTGGTCAGGACACAGGTCACATGTGCTGGCTGCATCTCCCTGACTAGGATGACTCCTTGCGTGCAAGAACAGTGTCCAGTTCATGGCTACAGGCTTAAGGGCAGTCAGCCAGTTAATGCAATCCATCTTTACTGAGCAAGTGAACTCAGAAGTTATGGAAGATTCTGCTTCCTGCTCCCTCACTGATCGAATCTGCTCCTGTGGATACTCAGTCCCTGAGGACACTTAGGACAGACACCCTGAATCAGATCCATGAATTCTCTTTGTTCCAAAATCTTCAGGGAAGTTCAACTTCCTGCCTCCTGCAGCCACCCATCCCATGTGTGACCTGCTCCAACAGTCAGGACCTTGTGTCCCCCTGGGGCCGGTGCAGCTCCCTGTGGCATCCAGCACAGCCACACAATGCCAGGGATCCAGCCCTTCCTCAGCCTTCTCTGTCCCACTCTCCTGTCCACTACCTGAGGTCAGGCGGCAGTAGGACGGACGCCCTGGGAGCCCATCTAAGAGGTATGACAGTGCAGTATGAAAGGGCCCATACAGCCACCTGTCTTATGACATGGTCACCTTGACCCTGAGGGCCTCCTTCTGATATTTACAGAACCTGGTAAATCAGAAAAGGACCCGACAGGCTGTGCCGGTCTCCCCACCACCGTGTCTTCAGTCGTGCTGCTGCCTCTGCTGCACACGCCTTCCTTCTCCCAACTCAGCCCATCGCGACCCTGTTTATTCTTTGAGGTCACTTCCAAGTGCCATCTTCTACATGAAGCTCTCCCTGGTCCCTAAGAAGCACGGAGTCTCTTACTGAGACCCCCACCACCGTGGACTACTGCAGCACCCCCACTCTGCTGAAAGCGCCACCATCCCAGCTGTGTACCGAGCTGGGCTCCGTGTCTCTGTAGGAAGGACGAGGGTCTCCCACCCGGGATGTTGAAAGCAGGTGCCTGTGGGCCCCAGTAACTAGACTTAGGGTTAACACTTGGCTGACTGACAGAAAGGCCCCTCGAAAGCACGTGTGTGGGACCGTGGGTGCTGAGCCGATCCCAGAGCAGAGCAGTCCCAAGCTCTTGTCCCCACGGAGGCCAAAGACGACTACCTTGAAAAGCAAATGACGACAAGAACGCCTCAGCTGTATTTTATTGCGCCGGAGCCTAGAAGTCACCTGCCGTGGCGCTGCTTCAGGACGGTCCGCGTGCAAGAGCTCTCACGCTACATGGAGACAGCAACTCCATAACACACTTCCCCTGCTCTAACACGCCACCGCTTGTGCCCTACCAACGAAGCCCTCATCAGTGAGCAGGAGAGCGGCTCTTACCAGATTATCGAGCATCCGCATGAGGGCTTCAAACTCCTGCTCGCCAATCAGCCACTTGGGAGGAGACCCGGTGCCCTCGCCCGCCGGGGACTCTGGAGACCGGGATTTGGCTTTGTACTTCCCAGGATCCAGGAGCACTAAGTTGTCTGGCCCTCCAGCACTGGCCAGGGTTCGAACCTTTTCCAAAACAAACGAACACTACAGTTTGAGCTTCTTACTGACAGCAACGGGGTTGGGTGACTACGAGAGACCTTTTAAACAGGAATGTATTATACGAGACTTCAAAGGAAACCAAATCACTGGGTGGAAGAATGAACAAGGTGGGGTGGGAAGTGATAAACTAATCACAAGGTTATTTTTTAGAAGTTTCTCTTTAGTCTGACAAAAATATTGGGCACACCCACTTGGAGGAGAAATGGAAAACAAAGCACCTGTCAAGACCGTGGGAGGTGAACTGGGGGCCCCACTACCACAGACGCAGTCCGGGGAACAGTGGGGAGCAAGGGAATGGGGGCTAAGCAGACTGGCTGAAGGGGTACTCGCAGCCGCGAGACTGTGGGCAAGTCTCTTGTGCTCTGCACCTGAGTGCCATGAGGGAAAAGTGAAATGACATGTGATCACACATGCCAAGCATGGTCCCGGGGCAGGTACACATGAGGACTCCATAAATGGTAGTGGCTGATGTATTTTAAAAAATAATTTAGAAATTAAAGGCCCAGTAATCATTTCTCAACCTAATCCATGAAATGGCATTTGCTTTGGTCAATTTCCAGATCCACAGGCTCATACTTGACACACAAGATTGCTCAGAGATGCTCCCCTGCGACACCCGTATCACAAGTCTGTGGGAACCTCGCACACCCCTACGTAAAGTGCAGCCGCACGGCACTGCCTACCTGGATCTCACATGCGACTACCAGGTTATGGATGTAATAGAAGGCCTCCTCGACGCTCTCGCCAACAGACACGAGCCCATGATTCCGGAGAATAAGGACCTGAGGGGGGAACATGAGACCTCCATGGCGCTAGGCAAGAAGATGGGTATTCTCACTGTTTACTTCTTCCTGCTATAGTTTAAACACCAGATTAGATGCCTACTGACCTTGCTTTTAGGCCCCAAATTTTTCTGAATTAAAACTTTTTCCTCTTCATCAACCAGAATCCCATGATAATCATGATAAGCCACTTCTCCGAGGGAAAGGGCCTCTGGAGAGATCGGCAAGAGGCCACATTTCATCGCAGAGACCTAGAGAGCAAGCCGTCACCGTGAATGAGGGCAAATCAAGAGTCACACGTTGACAGATGTCATCGTAAATGCTTTCCTCAAAGAAATAAAAAGGGGAACAGATTTTATTCTGTTCTCAGAAATAAATGACCCACAAAATAAAGACAAACTACTTTTGGGAGCTTACTCTCACTCTACACTTAAAAATCAAAGCTATCACTATGCTGCAGGAGCCTCAGAAGAAATTCCCCATCTTTCTGGATTTCTACAAAAACTGATTATAAACACTACTGATTAGATGAACCCTGAATCTAACGCCACGAGAGACAATGGCTTCCTCTAAATGAGTCACGAAATAGCAGAGGTTTCTGAGGTGCTGTAAGATTTTTGTGTACTTTTCATCTTAGGTTGTACGTGGGGTAGAAACACCTGAAAATTAGATAAAAGCAAATTTATAAAAGTTAGGATAATTATACTGTATAACTTCTCTACATTTAAGTAAAAAAATCTAAGTGTTCATATAGCCGTTAAGATTCCCAAACTGACGTTAGAATTCGCTAATTTTGAAGGTCCTCTATCTAGATTAACAGGCTCCAAAGATTCAAATAATATCTATAGGTGTAACAATTCCACAGAGAAAAGTTAATCTACAAAGACAATACCATAAAAAAAAGGTAACACCATATTTAATTCCTTTCACAGTATCAGCTATAAGAAATTTCCTTACCAAGTAAACTTATCTGGATAATTTTTAAGACAAACTACACAGTCTATAATTTGTTTGTAATCGTATTTTCAAAGGTGCCTCTAATGGTTCTTTAAAAATGCATGGGCTTTTTTTTTCTTTTGCATGATTTTTTGTAGTTGGAAGAGCATGTACTCTTTTAGGAAAAACATTACATCATTCAGAGAATGCTATATCTAATAAAACTTTGAGGATGACATCAAGAACCTCATCTTCAAGTAAAATAAACAAACCAGATCTATCATTTATCCAAAAAAATCAATAAGCATGACATTACAACATCAAGATATTGGGTTATCGGAAAAGTTATGACACATTTTTGCAACAAAAAACATAGAAAAATACATCATAACTTTTCCGACAACCCAATAGATTACAATTTAGCATTGCTGGTCAGTGGGGTCATCTGTCATACAAATGGGCCCATGTGGTCGTTCAAGTATAAACTGCTGACACAGTTCTCGAGTGCTGCACTTTCGCATGCCCATACCAGCAACTACAATGTGCAATCTCATACTGAGAGGTCTGGGCTGTTGAGGTGACCTTGGGAGCCGGCTAGGGCAGGCTCTTGGGAGCTTGGGTCTGGGCTATTGGGGTGACCTTGGGGAAGGGGGTGGGCAAGAACAGGCTCCTGGGAGTTTGGGTCTGGGCGGTCAGGGCGACCTTGGTGGTGGATGGGGGCAGGCTCCTGGGCGCTAGGGTCTGGGCTGTCGGGGTGACCTTGGGGGTGGGCGGAGACAGGCTCCTGGGAGCATGGGGCTGGGCTGTCGGGGTGACCTTGGGGGTGGGCGGAGACAGGCTCCTGGGAGCACGGGGCTGGGCGGTCAGCTCTCCTAATAGCCTGCAGTGTCTGTGCCCTCTTCCCCCAACTGCCCTGTTCTGACTCTCCCCAGTCATGGTCCAGCCCGATTCCGCTGGCTCCAGACAGAACAGCTGTGGGGAAGCTGGCGAGGATTGTTTCTAGGCCTCAACCTCTCCCTGTCACGCCTGCTCCATTCGCACAGCCTAGCCACATGCTCACCTGCACCCTACCAACCGTCCGGAGCCCACACCCTCTTCTGCCACCACCCATCTTGCCTTTCCTCGTCTCGCTTTTCCTGCTGTTGCTCTGCACTTCCTAACAGCCTCAAATACACTGAAATCTGGGCTCCACCCTCAACATTCTGATTTTCTACATTTTCAGGCTTATTATAGGGTTTTTAAAGTTAGATAGCACATGGACTCCTTAAAAGAAAAAATATATATTCTTTTAAGAAAGTTAAATTTAGTGAATGAAAAATGTTTAATCTAACAAAATTAGGTTCACTGACTTGCTGCAACAAGAGGGCAACTGAGAGGAAACGTGACGTGCCGCTTGCAAATCAGCTCTGGAGCGGAAGTTGCTAACGGCACGGCCACACTCACCGCGGCGCCGGCTGGTGTGTGAATGTGCACAACACACTTCACGTCCGGCCGTGCAGCGTAAATCGCAGAATGTAGCGTGAAGCCAGCTTGGTTCACTCCTAGATTAGTACTTCCACGATCTATGATGTCTCCTTGGAGATTGATTTTGACCTGAAAATGAGAAACAAAAATTTTAAATGTCAAGAGGATTTCATATTACCCTAACTAGAAATTATTTAAACCAAAGTTTAAAGTGTTTATAAGTAATTTTTAAGGTCTTTAAGTCAGTCACACAAAACATGGGCTTTTCCCTCTTTCTTGGGTTTTAGATGTCTAACAGGGTTGGGTGTTTAATTACGTAGCATGACGTAAACACACCAACGCCCAAGGGGAACAGGACATTCTTACCAGACTGGACGCAGTCACTTCACTGTAGAGAAGTCCAAAGGGGACGATGAGGAAGTGTTCCTGCTCGGAGCTCACTCTGGTCTGTGGGGAAAGGACTGAGTTAGCTCAAACATCCAACTGAAATTATTTGCATCTCTTTCAGTCCACAAACTTACGGGTTTGTTGGATAAATTTACCATAGCAATTTATCAGGTATGTCAAATGCATCTTGGTCACATTCATGATCTTTAACTTTATAAAGAAAAAACCTGGTGACTACCAAACCAGGTTTTTGTGCAGAAAGGTGTCACTCCTCGGGTATATAATAATGAAAACCAAAACTTACTTTTATTTTTTTTTTTAAGATTTTTTTTTATTTTTTATTGGGGAATTGAGGGGGTGGGAACAGCGGTGGGGAATTGGGGGAAGGGGACCAGCCAAGTTGCTGTCCTTTTGTTCTTCAGTCTAGTTGTGGAGGACGTTGCTTCACTGGCCCAAGTTGGCACCATCATTGCGCTCTTCCCAGGCGAGGCACATCAGTCGCCGGCTTCTGGACGCCGCTCACTGCGGCTGCTGGCCACTCACGCTGGCTGCTGGCTACACACAGTAGCCCATGGCAACCCACTGCAGCAGGGGCTGCAGCCTACGCCGTCGCCGGCGACTCACGCTGCCCAGCTCCAGGTTGAACTGTTGTTCAGCATCTTAGCTGTAGAGGGCAGTGTCACTGGCCCTCATATGTGGGATCCGAACCGGGGCCCTCTGGCGTCCCAAGCCAGTTCTTAACCATCGCGCCACGTGGCCGGCCCAAAACTTACTTTTAAAAAGTCAAAATGGATTTGTTTTTAGTACTCAAAACCTGCAGATGATGAACAATCACAAAAATCTCAGACGAGAGAGCACTTCCTTCCTGCCTGACCATTTCGGAGTCTCTACGACACTCCGAAATCATTCCCGGGTTTCCTTGCTCCTTCTGCACTAGTTTTCTGTCCACAATTCATCCAGTACAGATTTGGCACATGCTGTGTACCTGTGCTAAATGCTAGTAATACAGCCGGAAAAAAGAAGAGCCCTGCCCTCAAAGAAATTCAGTCTCGTTTTCATGATGATTTGGGGGTAGACGCTAAAGGCTTCCCAAAGCTATTCAATTAAAATGCATTTACTACTGGGCTAAGAAGTCTTACCAGAGTCAGACAGGTGGACTTCAGTGTTTGCTGAAAAGGCTTTAAGATGTTTAGTCCAACTTCCTACCCAGATCAGTGTGTTCTTCCATGATGGACCAAACAAAAACACACATACACAGGGACATTCACCACGTTGTCACGCAGCCTGCCTCACTTCTTCATTCAGCAAATAGTCACGGGACACCTAGTATGTCCTGGATGCTGGGCTACAGCAGTCAATAAATGGAAGTTGGAGAGATCTAATCATTAAAATGTTCTCTCTCACTGAGAGGAAGAAAATCTGTCTTCCTGAGAGTTTTTCACCACTGCTTCTAGAATATAACACAAACAAGTTCTATCCCTTTTGCAGTTCTCAGATGGCTGAACTCTGATCTCCTCTGTGTCTTCATGCTAAACTCACCTGACTCCCTCAGTATAGTATAACGGAGACCCACAGTCATTTAAGACTCAAGTTATAATCTTAGCTCTACCAACAACTGGCCATGCTACTTTGGGCTCCTGACCCCTAAGATGGGATGATCAGTGAAGCGCTCACTGTGACTCTTTGACAGCGGTAAAGAAGGAGCAGTCGTACACCATCACCATCAACAAACCGGTTCTCTAGAAATCCCTGTTACCTGGCTCTCTGCTCTCTTTAGGTTGTTCCAAAATGTGGTTTCCACCTTTTCCCCAAATACTTTCCCATTAATGGTGAGTTAGCCAGGCTTTTTATTTCTAGTCAGTTCTTTTATTTAAAAAAAAAAACCACGCTAATCTTTTTAATGAAAACAAAACTATGCAATTGTCCCAATTCCCAAGTTGGGTCAAAATAAAACATATAACAAGGAATTATTTTGTGTATTTGTTAGTTGGAATGAAGAAAAATAAGGTTGGAAATAAAAAATGTCAGATATTTGTGCTCATTTTAAAAGTTTGTATTCTGAAACATACATATAAAGAATACTTAGAGCAGCGGTTCTCAACCTTCCTGATGCCGCGACCCCTTAATACAGTTCCTCATGTTGTGGTGACCCCCAAACATAAAACTATTTTCATTGCTACTCTATAACTGTAATTTTGCTACTGTTATGAATCATAATGTAAGTATCTTTTTGTTTTCCGATGGTCTTAGGTGACCCCTGTGAAAGGGTTGTTCGACCCCAAAGGGGTCGCGACCTACAGGTTGAGAACCGCTGATTTAGAGGGTATGTGTACAATTTAAATGTAATAAATCAAACAGCCATGTACTTTTAACCAGCTCCACTTCTGTTCCCCCATATCCCAGAAGTAACCACTATCCTGAATTATGTGTTAAGCATTTTCTTTCTTTTCTTTATAGTTTTACCTTACCCCTAAGCAATATATTTTTATCTGTTTGTGAACTTCATAAATATTTGTCAGCGACTTTTTTCAACATTTTTAGAAGTACAGTTGGCGTACAATATATTAGTAATATTAGTTTCAGGTGTATAATACAGTGATTCAAAAAAAATTTTTTTTGCAGTAGAGGATAGTTTTATTAGAGCAGAAAATTACAGCTCTCAAAACGAGAGGGGGTCCCAACCGGGGTGCCCCAAGTGATTCAAATTTTTTTTATTTTAAGCTGAGCCATCCTGCCACCTGTTGGCAGCTCAGCTCGGGCAGGGACTCGAACCGCTGTTGTTCAGAGCTCAAACTCTTGAGTGAGCTCTTAACCAACTGAGCCACTCGGCCAGCCCTGTGATTCAAATTTTTATACCTTACAATGTGACCGCCACACTGTCTAGTAACCATCTGTCACCGTGTACACTTTTCACAATATTATTGACTGCATTCCCCTTCACCTTTTTCATCCAACCCCCAATCCCCCTTCCTTCTGGCATCCATCTGTTTAGTCTGTTTCTGATTCTGCTTTGTTCTGTTTTGTATTTTTAGATTCCACATATAGTTGAAATCATACGGTATTTATCTCTGGCTTATTTCATTCAGCATAATACCTGCGGTCACAAATGGCAAGGTTTCCTTCTTTTTATGGCTGAGTAATGTTCCATTCTATATAACATGAACCATCTCTTCTTTATCCAGTTGTCTATCAGCAGGCACCTAGGTTGCATCCATATCTTGGCTATTATTGTAAGTAATGCTGCAGTGAACACAGGGGTGCATATATCCTTTTGAACTAGTAGTTTCGTTTTCTTCAGATAAATACCCAGGAGTGGAATTGCTGGGTCGTATGGTGGATCTATTTTTAGTTTTTTGAGGAACCTCCATGCTGTTTCCTATAATGGCTGCACCAATTTGCAATCCCACCAACAGTGGACCAGGGTTCCCTTTTCTCCACAACCTCACTAACACATGTTGTTTGTTGACTTTTTGATGGTGCCATTCTGCCAGGACTGAGGTGATATCTCATTGTGGTTTTGATCGCATTTCCCTGATGATTTAGTGATACTGAGGGATACTGATACCTTTTCATGTGCCTTTTGGCCATCTGTATGTCTTCCTTGGAGAAATGTCTCTTCCTGTCCTCTGGTCATTTTTTGATCAGATTTTTTTGTTATTGAGTTGTCAACATTATTCTCGGCCTCCTCCAGATTATGATATACACGGTATAATTTATTCATTCATTGCTGTATAGAACCACTGGACGGATATACAATTTATGTAGCCATTCTTCTGTCAATGGACATGGTTTACATTTGGTACCAAAAATGCTATGAACATTCTTGTAACTGTCTGCTAGTATAAATGTTCAAGTTTCTCCAGGGCAATAAACTAGGAGGTGATACCAATTTATTTTCCAAAGGGCTTAAATTAACTACATGTATATGCCCACCAGTAAAATATGACAGTTCGGTACTTCTACAACCATCTCTTTTAAAAATTAAAATCGGATGTCTGTTGGGCTGTCCGAGTGGTGCGTTGGTTGAGTTGGCTTGGGATGCCAGCTCTGAGCAGCAGGGCCCTGGTTCAGATCCCACGTTAGAGCCAGTGATGCTATGCCCTCTACAGCTAAGATCGTGATCAACAGCTCGACCTGGAGCTGGGCTGCCATGAGTTGCCGGCGATGGCGTAGGCTGCAGTGGACTGCCATGAGCTACCATGAGTGGCTGGCAGCCAGTGTGAGCGGCCAGCAGCCAGCTTGAGTGGCCAAGAGCTGCCTTGAGCAGCCATCCAGTGGCTGGAGACTGATCTGCCTCACCTGGAAAGAGTGCAATGATCACAATACCAACATGGGCCAGTGAAGCGACGTCCTCCACAACTAGACTGAAGAACAAAAGGACAGCAACTTGTCTGTTCCCCTTCCTCGATTCCCAAACGCTGTTCCCCTCCCCCAATTCCCCAATAAAATCTTTACAAAAAACAAACAAAAAAAACAGATGTCTGTGAAATGGTATTCCATTGTGCTGCATTTTTTGTTTTTTTTTTTTTATCATAAAGTTTAATTATGGTTCAGAAAAAATTGAGTGAACAACTTTCTCTGAAAAAATATACCGACTCTGTATAGACTGCAGTTATTTTGAGGGGAGGCTGGTCAGTTAAACTACCTTATTTTCTATTCTGAAAATGACAAAAAGTCCCATTTCCTGTCTGATTAAAGGGATTCATGTGCCCAAAATGGCTGAGAATAAATACAACAAGAAAGGCAAAAGCTGTAAAGCGAGGGCATGCTATAGGCTCCAAAAGAAAGTCTCCGAAATACCCAAAATGGCGACAAGGAACATTTTGCTAGAATTTGGAGTTCTTTTCAGTTATCTCTGCCTTTTGCTCCATGTTTAAGGATGCGCCTGAACGCAATCTAACTGAAATTTCCCTTTTTGTCAATAGGTGCTTCTCAGTACAGCTCATCTACTTCCTCGTCTATAAACTGATCTCCCATTGTTGTCAGCAACTCTCTCACATGACCTTCCTGAATGGTGCCAGCTGCTGCTTCATCAAAGCGAGCAAAAGCATTTCTGATGA